TATAGAAGTGTTTAAAATTCATAACTCACACAGAATCCCATTACCTTCAGCATTTGCCTGCTGAAAGCCAGGCTTTTTTCATTTCTGCTGAAGAATCACCATCTTCCAGCCTGCTCTCTCCTGCTCCCCAAGGAAAGTGTTTTCAAAATGCCATCAGCTCCAGCCACCCTCGGTGATGCTGCGGCTGCTGCGCAGCTGACCCGGGCTCACATTAACCCCTTTCTTTAAAGTTTTGGTGTGCAATAAAATACTGCTGTACAGTAGCTTGGGGAGGAGTCTCCCTGGGTGATAGACTTGTCTTCACTGAAGAAGTGTTTTGTGCTACTTTCTATGTTTTGGAAGAAGAAATTGTGATTTGTCTCTGCAGTAGTGACTCTGCCAAGTGTTTGAGACAGGCAGAGCAGTAAAAAGGATGCTTTGGGCACAAGGGTAGACTCAAAGCAAAGCAGAAATCCAGTCTGTAATAATAAAAGTAGAAATTTGCAGCCCCAGTTTAATTCTGTGCTCAGTGCTCTGCATTCCCTAGGCTGATTCACTGATGTTCAGGGCTTTCTTCCTCTCTGTCATTAGGAACATGGTGCTAGAGGGATTGTTCTGGATCAGTGTATCCACTTTTCTGACATTGCAGCATCACACAATATATTTCTTCCCATAAACTTAAGGAAAACCTCTCCATTCCTTCTTGTGCCATTTTACAAACACCATATTCACTAACTGTAGGCCAAATGTCCCCAGGTAGTGCCCCCACTACATGTGACATGTACTTGTAGTCTAGGTGTGCTGTTCTCCAGCGAACTGTTCCTTGGCCAGACAGTCCTGTTAACAGGAGAGACATTTCTTTCTGGCCCACGTTTTCAAGCTGACCAGAGACAGTTTTAGGTTAGTCAACAAAGACATCCATTTGGATGAGAAGCCAAGCCTTGCTGCTTTTTCCATACAGCTAGTCATTAATCTTGATGTCCTGTAAATTTGTAGTTTAGTTTAGTTTTAAGACAGGAGAAGGGAAGGAATTAAGTTGGGGGTTTTGCATACCTTGAGGCTGATTATTCGTATCCAGATTTCATGATTAAAGTCTTTGTCCTACAGAGAGCATCGCTGGAAAGATTATATTAAGGCATGATCAAAGAAGGAGGAAAATAAATCTTGGAGCAATGAAATGCTGGGGAATAGTTCTCTTTTCCAGCAGGAGAGGCTGGGGGCAGAAAACTGTTTGCTGTGTCACAGGATCCATCCTGAAGAGCTGCCTCAAAGTAACACTTGGAACAGGTTACTGCAGTGAGGATGAGGAGAGCAAGAGATGTAGGTGGACAGTGAACTGCAGCAAATAAGAGAGTGAGTGTTGAGACAGGTAGAGCCTCCTTCTCTGTCACTTGGCAATGTATTTAAACGCACAGACATAATGAGAAGTGACTGATCAGCCAGCAGTACTTATTTATAGAAATAGTAACTTGCAGAGTAGAAAATACAGGGATCTGAGTGTGTTTTGGAAATGGAAGCTTGATGTAGAGGCTGGTCATGGTGGGCTGCTTTCATGTTGGCTATGACAGCCCTGGTCCAGGGGAACATTCCCTGCTCAGAGGGAAGATACTTTTTCCTAATGAGCTGGTTCTGGTTTCTGTTGAAACATGAAGATCTCGTGCTTTGCTGTTTGAATGGCCGTCAGGGGTTGGAGCGTGCAGGATCCCCTTTGCATGGCCCTGTTCAAAGAGACCAGCTTGCAGACTGTCAGGTCTGTGCAAGAAACACTGATTTGCTGTTCCAGGAGGGAACAGGCTGCTGTCCACATTTGTCCAGGTAGAATTCAGAGAGCAACCAGGGTTTCGGGTGTTCTCTTCATCCCAGTAGCTCTCACAGGACCTTCCGTGTCACTGACGGGAAGAGGGGAGACTGGTGGGACACACATTTACAAAACAGGAGGGATTAACGTTGATGGGGAGCAGATATCCGAGTCCTCGGGTGCCATTCAGTCTGAAATATCTCAGCAGTGTGTTTCAGTGCGTGCCAGTTCAAAATTTCCCTTTCCCTGCAGGCAGGGATGTGCAGCCACGGGAGCTGCCTCGGCCACGGCGTGCAGCAGCGCCGGTGCAGCTACTGGGTGGTTTTGGTGCTGTTTTGGGTGGAGAAGTGGACTGCACCTTCTTCTGGAGAACAAGGCTTAAAACTACTGCAGGGATTTTTACAGGGAAATAGAAAGCAAGCCTGGCAAAGCCTGGCAAAACAAAAAGAATAAATAAAAATGTTAGCATTCATTTTTGCAGCCAAGGTGGTTCTACCCTTTGTGTACTCGGTGACCCGGCTGCAGAGCTTGGCCAGGTCCCTTCCTCAGGGCCTCTGTGTGGTGCTTGCTGTTAAATTGAACAGAGTTATGCATATGCAGAGAAAATCAAAGTTGTCAGTAAAGACAGGCAACTTATTTTTAACATTCTTAGTGGAGAGGAATCATTTTGTAAACGTAAATCTATACTGCAAGGTCCATTTAACTGGCTTTGAATCAGTCTGACTAATTACAGAGCTGTCTGCTTAGATTAACGCCCCGTCCCCTTGCTCGGCTCTTTGTTTGCATCTCATGGATATTTTTTGCGGTTTAGTCCATTACATGAAATCAAGCTGCTGTTCCTCCTGCCACCTCTGCTGCCTTCCATTATCCCAGTGCCTCGGCGCTGAGGTTTTTACAAGGACCTGTGTCAGATGTGTCACTCGATTGAATCAGCGCAATGAACAACACGAACAGGGGCGGGGGGAGGATGGCAGAAGAAAGGACCGGTCCTTCGAGCACCAGCTCTGGGCTGGTGATGCCTTTGTAGAAATTCCCCCTGTTCTTTTCAAAGGCTGCCGAGTGAATGAGGAATCACACTGGCGCAGTTCTGGTTTAAATTTGTTTTTTCATGATGCTTAGATGTATAAAAAAATGTCACTGAGTGTTTTTTTTCTTGGTGGCTGCGTCATGAGTGAGGTGGTTATCAGAGACACTAGAAAATCTGATGGGTACCCTCGTGCTCTTCCTTTCTCTCCCTTTCCTTTTACTGTCGTTCAAGGGCTTTAAAAGAAACCAAGCCACTCAGATTTCCCATCAGTCCTTATGTAACTTCTAGCACAGGATGAAATGTAGGAGGTGGAACTCTGAGCAGACCTTGGATGACATTACCTGGCTGGCTGCTTCAGTGGCTGGGGCTTTTTTTCCCCTCTCAAAGCTTGTAGCACTTTGTCCCTCTCCCTCTCTTGCTCTTTCTCCTTCCCCCTCCTCCTTTTCTTTCCCTGGTAATAGAAGCTTCCAGGATGAACATGGCAATTGCAAAAATAGAACCTAAACGGTAAGAAGCCTGGAGAAGAGAGACAAGCATTGTATCACCAACCTTTATTGTTGGGGGGCCTCACCCTCCTCCAAGCAGGGACTTACTTGACTGTGTATTGACTTATTCTCTATTGAGACACGGATACCAGAGCTGCTGAAAAAGACAATGACTTTTGCCTGTTATGACCAAAGCCAAAACCTGAACTTGGATCTGCACTGTTCAGTTCTGCTCGGCTCGTGCACGCCCTACTCACCCGTTCCTTGGGCTCTGTCCTCAGCTGGCACAAACCAAGCGGGACAGAGCAGCGCCCTTGGACTCTGTTTCTTGACAGTTGTTACTGCTTTCTCCTGTTACTGACTTCTTCATTTTCCCTGGGTGGGTTTAACGTTGCTGTATCTTTGTCAGTCCCTGTATTTAACCTGTCTTGGAGGGGTCAGGATTAGCTGTAGAAGCCTGTTCTGCAGGCAGCCCCAGGAAATGGGCAGCACTGTCCAAGTGGTGCTGTCAGAAATACTGGTGAGATCCCTGCATGAAACTCTAAGGAGACGCCACTTGGAAAATGCTTTGGATGGCAGCTGAGTAAGAGCCCCTTTTCTTTGCTGGTCAGATGAGAGGATGGAGTTAGGTTGTTGCCTTTGTGTTTTGCAGAATGCTTTGACACATGCTGGGGAATTTTTCTGGCAGAAGAACGATTCCCTTGGCTAGAGCAGACAAGCATATGAAGTGCAGCGTGCGTGCTCCTGGAGCTTATTACCATGTGCTACTTGCCTTCTTCAGCCCAAGTTCAAATCTGAACTGTCCAAGTCTATTTTCTGTTGGTTTGAGTATCAGGTTTAGCAGCTCTGCAAGGTGAGAAGCTGCTTGTTGACCAACTTAACGCTTTATATTTAGATGCCTCTAGAAACACGAAAGGAAATGCAGTAACAGCTTGATCTGTCATTTACCATCAATTGTGACTCATCTGAAATCCCTATTTTAGTTCCATTTTGTTAGTGCAACCACTTTGATATTGTCCAAATGGCTCAACTCCCAAATGACGGTGTTACAACTATTAAACATTGTGAGGTTCAGAAGAAAGAATAACAAATTAAAGATTCGCCTAAAAGCAGCAAAATAAAATGTTCACGGAATTTTGTCAGTTGTTGCAAATGCTTATTAATTTGATTTGTACTTTGAATCTGTCGGTCCCTTCTGCTGGAATACCAAATGGCAGATATTCTCATTAAATAACAAATTGGCAGTTGGGGAATTGATACAAATGTCAATAGGAAAGACTGAGTTAGACTTACCAAGGTGCAGGTCCTAAAGCTTCCTTTTTAACATTTAGATGTTTAGTAAACTTGTAGAATATATAAACCCCTGAACATTCAAGCTGAGTAGTAATGATTAAAACAGCAATAAAAATAACCATAAAAATATAAGCCAGTAACTGTGGTTTTACACTGTTTAGTATTTTAGCTCAGGAAATACAAACACATTATCTGGTCTTCCATTTGGCCTTTTTAGATTATTTGCTTCACGAGTGTAGATAACTAGCAGTTTGACTGAAGCTCATTTAGGTAGTCTTTAATTTAGCCTTCTTTTTCCCACTTTCATTTTACAAGCCCTTGCAGAGTTCACAAAGAAACTCAAAATGGAGACGAAATGCCCACGTAGGGTGTTTTTGAGCTCTTCTCTTGATGTTTTCTTAGATGTCATTGTGATGTTTGGAGTTCTAATGAATTTTCTCACATAAGATCAAAGTGTTTGAGTTGATGGATTGTCATGTGCTGTGGGACTTTGTTTTTTTTGTTTGGTTGGTTTTTTTATTATTATTTTAGGTGTGAGTTTCAACAGTGTTTATACCCAAATTTGGAGAGTCCTTCTTCACCTAGCTGCCGACCCCTATCCTGATGTTTCCGACTTGGCTATGAAAGTTCTCAACAGCATTGCCTACAAGGTATGCCTTTCTGTGTCTGTCTGGCTGGCTGAGAGGCTGTGGTGTGTTAATTCTTTTTTCATGCTTAGGCAAAGCCTAGGTAGACTGAGCTGAACAGATCCATTGGAGGGCTCTGGTAAGTGGTCCTAGTTCAGTCTGGATCTATTGCAGAAGGAGCTTTTAATGTTTCAAAAAGATAAACACTCATATGAACTCTTGATCAGGTAAAATAAATAAATGGGGGAGGGCCTGGGAATGTTGTAGGATATAAATTAGGTACAGACCTTAGACACGAGGTCTTGTTTAGAAGTCTACTTATCTAGATCAGTCCCTGGGAGAAAACTTTAAATATACTTCATTAAATTATCCGTTTGCAAACTGATTTAGATTATGCAAGTGGGACTGGCCTGCAGACTGAAGCCACAACGGCTCTCCAATCCAGGTGAACTAGTACATGTGAGTCAGCATGCAGACACCCC